AAAGTCTTTGCAAATAGGGAAGAGTGGAGGGGGTGAAGGGAGGGCAGGGGAAGGGGAAAAAAATAAGAATCAAGATACTCATGTAAAGGTACAAGATCCCAATGATGAATGTAACTGTATTTTACACCGAAAATGTACCAATAAACTTAATGGGGAAAAAAAAGGCCTCCCAGCCGCGGCTTCCCTGAAGCACACCTTGAGGAACACTAACCTCGTCTGTGGTCCTCTTTTCCTTGAGCACTAATAAAAATGGAACAATGTATAATTTTCACATATCCTTTCCGACTCTTTGCTGTTTTGACAGCCATCCGTTAGAAAGCCTTAAAAGATGGAAATTAAACTTTATCTTTTTCCGTTAGTCCTCAACTGAGGAAACTAAGTTTTAGACCCAAGATTCTAAGATACTTACAACAAAGATGAGAATTATTGCCCCTAACTTAATATGCAGCAGTCATTCCACCATAAATTAGTTGTCAAGATCAAGCCTTCACGTTAAACTGGTTTGTGATATAATTACGTGAGGCACTGAAAGTTCTTTTATCCTAAAAAATTCAAATTTTTCTTAGTTATCATTTAAAAAATTCTAGGAAACAAAAAATAGGTGGTGTCATCCCAGTTTTCATTAAAGTACCCATGAAAAGAAGTAAAAAGGGAAATTTTCCATCAAATACATGAGTCACCATTGGAAATGAAAGATAACAGTCCACATTTGCTAGAAATTGGAGAACATCTTACTAAATAAATCTCCCACTGGACCGGATTGGAAAACATCGTGTCCATGTAACAACATGTGCTCTGCTCCCTGAGCCAGGGCCTCGCCCAGCCCAGGGCTCCCCGGGCCTCTGCGGGGTGGGCCAGGACTTCTGAGGAGCAGACTTGATCCGGGACCCGGCGGCTCGCGTGGCCCTGCCTACAGGGGTCGCCGAGGCCCTGCCCCAAGCTAAACATAGGTTTTCAGAGAGCAAACTGGAGCTCCCTTAGAGAAGAACGGCGGATCCAGGGTGCACTCTGGCGTGGGATGCGGGGAGACCCAAGCTTCGGAGCAGGTGGGCGGTGGAGGGTGAGGGGCTCCCTTGGCCTCCGAGGTCTCTGGCTGGGGCGCTGGTGCTGGTGGGGCCCCAGGTCGATGACACTGAGGAGCACATATCCTCCAGCTCAGGCCCCCCGGGGGGGGGGAGCACCGCAGGGCTTGGCGGACCCCTTGACATCTGGTCGGCACTGGCCAGGGCCAGCGGTCTGTGAGGGGCTGAGCGGACTCGGCTGGGCGACTGGCAAGCAGCAAGGCCCGAAGCCGGCCCTGAAGCGTGTCCGCACCGCGGGGTGGTCAGCCCGACCAGTGCGCATGCGTGTCTCGCCGGCTTCCGGCTGAGGCGCCAGGCCAGGCTCTGTGAACAGCCGCTGACGGAAGTGCTCAGCGGGCGGGCCCAGGCCACTACGCGGCCTGCAGCTCCTTCTCCCGTCTTCCCTGGTTTCTGTCGCGTGGTGATCGCTGTCCTCCTGCGACTTCTCCCGGGTGTTCTCCAGCTGTTTGCTTCCATGCGCGCAGCCAGAGTCGGAGGGGCTTCATCCTGGGGACTCGCAGGTCCGCTCGGCCTCTCCGCCCCGCTCTGCTCTGAGAAGTCTGCTTCCGGGGACAAGCACGCAGGCCAGGCAGATGAGAGGATCCCGGCGTGGCCCGTAAGGGCAGGCCGAAGCCTCACGGGGGGGCCCAGAGGGACACCTCGAAGGGCGTGGATGAGATGGGAAGAGACGGCGGGGAACCAAGGCCAGGAGGGGCCAGGAGGGCAAAGGGAAGTCTCTGCTGGGAAGGGAGTAGGGGCTTGAGCCCAGACCAGGGGCGTCCAGGACGCTGCCGCAGCCCCACAGCTGTGTGAGCGAGCACCGCAGAGGGCGCCGCAGGAGGATGCGCGGTGAGCGACGCCCACAGACTGTGGCTCCCGGAGGAGAGACTGTTGCAGGGGAACAGAAGAAACCCTTCACGGGAAGATAAAATATGCGCGAAAACGAATCTCTCCAAGTCTGAGTCTAGAGACTCAGGTTTGAGTGACTGTTAGGTGTGAATGCAGGGAGGCAGAGCTAGGAGGACCCCTTCGCCCGCTCCCCAACACCTTCCCGAGCAGTGACGTGGCTCCGTGCAAAGCCCCGTCCAAGCCCCGCCACCCTGAAGAAGTTTCTTGATTTTCTTAAACAACAGCGGTGCCCCTGTCTCCTTAGCACCCTCCTCAGCGCTGATTACAATAACGGAAGCTCCTTCCTGTGGCAGCCGGGCTTGGCCAGCACACCAAAGCCTTACGGACTGAAGCGTGAGGAGATTCACCCCTGCGAAGCTTGGGAAGGGCCAGGAGGAGAGGCCTGGCTGTGTGGAGAGATTGCTGCCCACCGCGCCGCTGCCGCCGCCTCATTGCGGTGCAGAGTTTGGAGGTTTCCATTCCCCTCCGGGAGTGGAGGAGCCAGAGGAACACCGAGGAACCTGAGCCTCCCTGCCGCAGACCCGGGCTGTGCTCCTCGGTTGGCTGGGAGCAGCCCCGCCGAGCTGCCCTGGAACTCTGGGAAGCCTTTCAGAGCCAAGAGCTCGAACGGGCTGGAGACGCTGTCCGCAGCTGGAGGTTGGCAGCCACATTCCCGTGGCCACCGCAGTGTTCAGTAAGAATGAAAACCACAAAACCAGTCAGCGACTGCGCAGCTGCAACACGATCCTTCCCCCGTTTGCAGAGCTCGGAGTCTACAGGGGGAAGACAAAGGAGTCTATGCAACTGCTGCAGAATCTGCGAGTGTAGACGTGTGCCCCGGGCCTGCAGGAGTACAGAGGAGTGGAACAGTTAACCCTGATCGACGACGCTGGACATGGACAGCGCAGGAAGTGAGGGCTAAGCTGTGTGACCGGCATTCTCAGGAGAGGGAGACGTCTTTGTGTGTCCCACGGAGAACCCCATCCCCGAGGGACGGGACGTGTCGCACTCCCGTCTCCCCGCCTCGGGAGCTCACTTGGCCAGCTGGAGGGTGCACAGGCATGCCCTGGAGTTCTTGCCGCCAGCCCGGGTTTGCTGCACTCTGTTCTCTCCTAGGAAGAGTCCAGGGAAGAGGCCCATTAGCTCTTGTTCCAGAGTAGGGGTGGCACGAGTCTGGTCGGCAGCTGAACCACGAAGGACAGGGAACAGGAGAAAGAAGACTTTGTTTTCATAATGCACGATGAAGGCAGAAGACATAAGAGAGAGTGGAGTTTGCAGGGGACTCAGCTGCCCACCCACCAGGCAGGATGAAGGCTGTTGACCGTAGCAATGGGGAGCTGGTGGGGAGGATACAGACTCACCTGGGAGAGTCTGCTGATGCGCTGAAGAAATGGCAGATAATTCACTGGCAACAGAGCCCCATGAGGTACTTTGTTTTGTTTTTGTGGTGCTGGGGATGGAACTTAGGGCCTGTGTACTGAGCTAAATCCCCAGCCCCTTTTAACTTTGAGACAGGGTTTTATAAAATTGCTCAGGCTGGCCTCAGACTTGGGATGCTCCTGCCTCAGCCCCCAGGGGTGGGGGAGTGACAGGGGCAAATCCAGCTCAGAAGGGGTGGTGAGGGAGCCTCTGGATGAGGCAGAGTGGGCCAAGGCAGAGGGAGGCGCACATGGCAGACAGGGCTTGGGTGGTGAGGGTGGGGCAGGGCACAAGATGTGGGGCTGCCATGCTCAGCACTGGGGCAGCAACTCAGCTTCCTGCAAGGCAGCCAGAGGCAGCATCCAGTGGACTCTTGGAAATCTGTTTGGAGTTGAGACAGCGCAGATTTGAATCCTGTCTCTTCTTGCGGCGAAATCTCCACATGTAATATTCTAAAACAAGCACAACGCTTCAGTCACTTTGATACAATTGACTTGCTCATGTCAAAATACCAGTGCTTCAGAACGAAGTTCTAAACTCTGCTTTGTGTGTCTCTTTGTCTCTCACTTTAAGGTTATGTATTCATCATCATTATTATTAATACATACTAGCTACAAATTAACAGGACCCATTGTGATGTTTCATATCTCAGTCCCATCCATCCATCCATCCATCCATGCATCCTTCTTCTACACCCACCCCAGACACATTCTTCATGGTCCCTAGTTATCACTCTTCTACTCTCAGATTGACTTTTTTCTTTTTCTTTTTTGGAGTTTGTGCATGTGAGAGAGGAGATTCAGTATTTGTCTTCTGGTGTCTGGTTTATTTCACGTAGCACAATGCCTTCCACTCCATCCATATCCCTTCCATGCCCAGGACAGGCCTCTGTTCATGGTGACCACTTCCCCAGCACACGTGTGCACCAAGCGTTCTCTGTCCACTCATCTGATGACGGTGCCTCGGTGGACAGTGAAAGCGAGTCTCTGCATGCTGACTTTGGTTCCTTCAGGTATAGACCTGAGAGGAGATCACAGGATCATGCAGCAGCTCTGTTTTAGTTTTGTTGAGGAAACTTCATACTGTTCGCCACAGTAGCTGGACAGATTTACACTTCCGACAACAGTGTGTGACTTCCTTTTTCTCCTTATCATTGGCAGCATTTGTCATTTTGTTGCTGCTGTTACTGTTGTTTTAATACTACCTATTCTAATACCTGGCATCTCTGTAGCTTTGATTAGCATTTCCCTGCTGGCTTAGGATACTGAGCATATTTTCCTGTATCTATAGAGCCATTTCTGTCTTCTTTTGAGAAATGTCTATTCAGATCATGACTCATTCGGCAATGGATTATTGGTTTGTTACTTTTTTCAGTTCTTTATATATCCTCATTAATCTGTCAGATGTAGCTCACAAGTATTTTCTCCCATTTTGTGTATTTCCCTTCACTCTTTTCTTGATTGTTTCCTTTGCTGTACAGAAACTTTGATGTAATGCCATCTGTCAATTTTTCTTTTTGTTCTGTGCTTTTGGGAGTCCTATCCAGAAAATCATTGTCTGTACCAGTATCATGAGGTATTTCTATCACGTTTTCCTCAGCAGTTTATTCATCATGGAGGAGCTCATGGTTGAATGTGCTGCTAAGAGGTGGGGCCTGGAGGTGGTCACTGCAGCCATGGGCTGGCAGGATGTGTTCTTGGCCCTGACTTCTCCCATCACTTTCTCTGCTTCCTGGCTGCCATGAGGTGAGCAACTTTCCTCCACCAGGCCCCTCCACCACACATTTCCGCTTGGAGCCAGCTGACCATGGACTGAACCCACTGAAACTGTGAGCCAAAATAAACCTCTCCTCCTTTAATTTGTGGCATTGGGTATTTTGTCTGGGCAAAGTGAGCAGGGAAGAGAAGTCCTGCTCTTCAGGCTCTGCCTTCTACTGAGTCTGTGCCCTGGACTGTTACTTTCATATGTCCTTCTCAGTTTTCCCCATCAAGGGAGACAGAAAGACTAGAGGCAAACACTGTTGGGTATTTTTCTCCTGT